CATAACTTCACGTAACATAAGTTCACATAACTTCATAAATACTTTGTCATGAATAGGCATTTGATTGCGTAATTTACTACAGAACAGGCAGAAGAGTAAAGAATTTGTGTGGAAGGTTCTTTATAAAACTTAATAAAAATTAGACTGACACTTTCAGCTTCATAACTTTTGGAAAGTACCCGGTACTTAGATTTCTTAGTTGTTAAGTTTTCAAAACATCTTGTGATATTTAAATGGTGGAGCACACATTAAGGTCAATTTGAACCATGTGGATAGAGAGTAGCTTTGGATGCTTTTAAAACTTCATATGGGCTTTTAAAGCTGTTCTCAGTTCCTGTGATTGTCAGCTGGTTCATTTACTGAAATTCTAGTATAAATGCGGTGAAAAAACAAACTGCGTGAGCAGTGAGACCACTAACTTGGTTCTCTGTGTGCATCTTTGCATAGTGGTATTGGCAGCTGGGCACGGCTCCGAGGCTGTCATTTTAGCAAGCATTTGGATGGTTGTTTAATAGCACTACATCTCCTTTTTATACCCAGTATTAATAGGTGCTTTCATAGTTGGGTATGGTCAAATTAAGGTTGGCTGTCAGTTTTTATATGTCCTGTCAGTTTGCTTATATTTCAGTTTTGGTTTTAAATACTGGTGAGTACAACAACTAACCCATCCAAAATTAAATATTTTTCCTCATGTCCATTTCTTAAAACAGATTATTAAAACTAAACATTGAGTCACTTTCCGAGAAAATATCATCCTGTGTTGAAAAATTACAATGCTTTAATGGTAATAGCATTAAAATACTTTAACTGTTTGAAAATAAAGGTATGGATTTTTTCCACAAAGTTGGAACAGACTCCTGACAGAGAAGATGGAATAAGGTAAAAGGCTTAAGACTTGTCATTAATTACTTACGCTTCCAGACTAAAGGAAGCCTGCACACATAGAAGGAACATTGTCTGAATCATAACAGAACGAATCATAGATGTGTAAAACATTTTGGGTTGGAAGGGATATTCAAAGATCATCTAGTCCAGCCCCCCTGCCATGGGCGGAGACATCTTTCTCTAGATGAGGTTGCTCAGTGAAGAATGACAATGTTGATGACACATAAAATCAAGGAGTTTGTTGATAACCTTTCAGCTGAGGAATGGGCAAAGCTTTCAGGTGCCTATGTGCATGCAGTTGGGGGGTGACCATATTAAAGTCTGATGCAAACATCCTTCAAGAGAAGGATAAGTCATGAGGGTAGAAATAATTCAACGGGAGATGGAAAACCAGGAAGACATTTCAATAGCTGTCCAAACACGCTGCAAAGAAAGGAAACTGTTCTACACAAATGCTAGAAAGTTGAGAAATGTGATGGAGGAACAACAATATTGGCTAAATGTCAGAGGATATAATATTGGCTGAATAGACTTGTGGTTTGAACCATGATGGCCATTTTCTGGTCAGCCTATATTTGCTTTTTCAAGTCAAAAGTGGTCTGGGATATAAGTGGGCTGAAATGTTATTTTTACAACTTTGTTCCAAGTGTGAAATGCACAGCCCAAATCATAACCCTGCAAAAGGGAGCTGAACAGCTCTGTTCATCACAAGGAATATACAGGGCCTGTGACCTACCGAGTACCATGTGGCTGAGCTCTGATGCACCATCACAATGTCAGAAAGTAAATAAAAATACATGCCTGATCTTAGATGCAACAGGATTTACCAGACAAACTTCAGTTGCCTATGCTTCTGGACTGCCATTAATCTCTGCAGGAGGCACCAACGGAAAGAGTTAATAAGAATAAACTGGGAAGTAAACCCCACTAAAATAAAACAAACCCTGGAAAAGAGAAACCCTCCAGCTTTGGACTGGAAGCAAGGGGAGTGTTGCCAGGTGTGGGAGTGCAGAGGGGCCTTTGGGTGCTGCACGCAGCTGCAGCTCTGCCTTCAGTGAGTGCTTGTTCATGCTGTCTGGGAGCGTGCGCTCTCCACACGCACTTCTGAACTCCTGCTGATGGCAGGTGAAGCTCATCTGCCAGATAGTACTGCCTCTAGGTATCAAAGAGAGTCATCAACCCCCTATTCTGACAGGCAGCAGCAAGAATTAATATGGGTGATAATTAGTCACTGTGTTTGGCTTCTTCTCACTACTAAAAGAAGAGATCTTCTCCTATAGGAACAACATGAACTTGTGTTTTCCAGAGCCAGGATGGATTGGAATGGCTTCCCACATTGCCAAATAGAAATCCAGAGCAGTCTTAGTGAGAGCTCTGGAGGATCCCTGTGGAAAACAGTCACAGGAAGATGGCAGGTAAAAGGTGACAAGTGGGGCCAGGGTGCCCTTGGCTGACAGCTATCAAGTGGTGATCAGGCAAATCTCTGATGCCTAGGAATGTGTAGGGTTTCCTCTCTGAGTCTTACCAGGCTGGGAGAGCAGACCAGCCAGACCTCTGAGACCTCCCGAGGAATAAAGTATCATAGAATCATAGAATACCAGGTTGGAAGGGACTTCAAGGATCATCTGATCCAACCTTTCTAGGCAAGAGCACAGTCTAAACAAGATGGCCCAGCACCCTGGCTGGTAGGTCACACCATCCAAAGTAGGGTCACACTTCTCTCCAGAAAGCAATGCTGGTTTTGCAGGACCCCGGGCAGCTAAGGCTTGGGAACAGCCTTGCTAGAGTCTTCTGCCAGTAAAGACTGAAAGTGGGTAACTGTCATGTTTGGGCTAAACCCAGCATACTTACAAATATACATGTGTTTGGACTTTGTCCCCTAGTGCATTTGCATAGCATTTCTCCTTGACATTAGCTAGTGGCTCCCCACCAACAATAAGAGCTGGGGAGGAACATTCCAAGAGCTAATTCTGGGTCCCTCCAGCAAAATACACACAGCACCCCAAGGATGGTCTGGAAGCCAAAGAGACGCAGTGGTGAGATAACAAGGTCACTGCAGACAAGCAGCAGCAAAGGCACACTTCCATCTGTCTAAATCTTTGAGTATGTTTGAACATAATGGTGTACTGAGGCTAAAGGACTGGAAATGTGGGATGACGTGCTTAAACGCACAACCTCTGTTTGCCCTTGTGAAGATTATGAGCCATACCTAAAAGCACACTGCCACAGGATCAGGTAAATTGGCTTTTATTGAAACATACTGTAATACGAAGGGGGGGTGCTGGGGGAAGATTCCAATTTAACACAAGTACATTGCATTTCAGGCTCCCAAATAACTATTGATATCTGCTGTCCTGGAGCAAATCATATCTTCCTTGACAAGTCAGACAGCTGCTCTTTCTCTATCTTCCTTTTGTTATCTTTAATAGCCATGGACTGTTGCTGTACCTTGAAAAAAATGTTTGCAACTTACTTGATGGATGTCTCACCTCCTGCTATTAGCCCTGGTTCATGGGTTCATCTAATGCCTGTTTTTGCCTACAAAACTCAGACCAAGTGCTTTCGAAATGAGAGTATGCTGGGTGTCACTGCACAGTGGATGCAGTGCATGCTGCGTGCAGCTCCCCTTCCCCTCCAGCTGGCAGCCAGTGGGGGGAACAAGCTCTTTTGATCATCCTGAAATACAGTTAAGGTAGAAGCAACCTCCAGAGCTCGGCGGGTCCAGGCTCTTGCTCAGATCAGGGCCAACTTTCAAGCCCTGAAAGATTGCTCAGGGTCTTCCCCAGCTGAGCCCTGACTATCTCCAGTGAAGTAGATCCCACAGCTTCTCAGGGCAAATGTTCCCATGTTTGATTGTGGAGATTTTTTTCTTCCATTTATTTAAGGTACAGGAATACTGGTATCTTAAGTACATATACTAACACCTGTAAGATAGCTCTAAAGAAAACCATGGCTATATTGGGCCAATTTCACCCAGACTTTGAATTGCAAAGAGAATGCAAATCTCTTTCAGGCTGTCAGCTGTCCTAAGGTGTGGCCAAGGAAACAAAGACAAATGTGGTAGAAATGGCTGGGGGTGGTGACAGTGCAGCTCTTCCCTCTCTTTCCTCTGTCAGACTTCGCTGCTCCCAAATCTCAGTCGACACCATGCTGTGCGTAAGGTGTCCCCAGGCTGCTCCAGATCAGCCCTAAAACGTGGCGGGTCAGCCCAAAAAACCTTCAACAGCAAACTGAAGTGTGCGTGTGGGTTAAGCTAAATTATGTGATGCAAAAGAGGAGTGCTTATAGTGTCCATGCAGCTAGCACAGCTGCAGGGCACAGCCTTCTGCGTACAGGCACTACAAAGAGCTGGACAAGTTAACAATTTGAACAGCCGTGATCCCTTCTGTGGCACTTACCCACTTGCCCTGAGACCAAGAGAAACAAATGCAGCTGGAGACCTGTACCTGTTCCAACAAACAGACGGGTCTCTGTCCAAAATCAATCAAAGGGCACCTAATAACAACTGCCAACTGCTATTGTGCATTTAGGAGCAACCTTTAAATGAGAGCGTTTAAAAATCCTTAAGTTGATGGGTATCATGGAAGTCATATGTAACCTGGTATTAGCTACCCAGGTGCCTCTGCTTTTTGTGTCTCTAATTGCCTGATTAATCTGTAAGTAAGAACTAGTGCTGGCTGCACATTCCTGTTAAGGTTTTATATTCCTAAATGGGAAAACCCAACCCCTTTGGACCAGACTGTAGAACAAGCATCATTTTGGAGGGAGGGGAAGACTGACACATTTAGTACAGAGTTTTGGCAAATACAGTACTAGACAGGGTCCTCTTTATACTTCCCAGTGGTACACGCACATGCCCATTTTTTATGTGCTGATAGAGCATTCAGCATTGAGAATGGCCCTTCCAACACTCAAGTGGGGAGAAGGGATTTCTGCTCTAGTGTGTATATTGTGTGCTTCTCCTAGCTCTCTCGTATTCCCTTTGTATAGCAGAGACTGAAAGAGAGGATTTTTTTTTCACCATTTGTAGCTATCAGCTAAAAAGAATACTAACAGAAAGAGAGATTTAGATCCTCCACCATGAAATTAACAGCTGTCCTTTGTGATTTGAACAGGTCCCCAGTGGTACCCTTCCCGTGTTGGCCTGCAACTAGAACGCAGTAAGTATTCATAATGCAACCACCTAACGTATTACTAATTCTCTGGCAATCTCTCCTCCTAACAGTATTGCTCTCTCTTTAAGTGTTATTGGGTGACTCGTTAGCACTTTTTCATTAATTGATATCAATGAATAACTTACTTTCTCATTAATAAAGGAATTGCATGGTTTTCATAACCACTGACTAAAAATGTTTCAGAATACAGTATATGATCAAATAACGAATACAAAGCAGGTTTAAAACCATTCGCTCACTTCTCTCACTTGCTGCACTATCTGTTTTAATACTTGCTCACAGCCTCATCAGAAGATGCAACCGGCTGCAGGAGGCAGCGTCTTTTTTTGTGCTAGTACACCAGTTCTTGGTGGGCATGCCAGTGGGAGATGAAGCTGCCATGGGCTGTGTGGCGTTTGGTCTGTGGACCTGTAGCATTGCAGAGCCCTAGAAAATGAGGACTCAGTGCCTGGTGGAATTTAGCACCCTCACTGACTTAAACAGTCAACAAACATATATTGAAAGGGAGACACAAGACACAAAGCGGAAAAGAGAAAAGAAGTGTTGCAGCCATGGCAACAGTCCATGCCAGTGGCTGTTGGGGTTTCCTATTATCCAATTCACTGCCTCTATAAAAAAAGACAGCCAGATATTGCCTGTTTATGCCTCTGCCTGTACACTCTCGGTCCATCAGGACTGGAAGCAGATGCCTCAGAATACTGTGAAAAGTACTATAATGCTCAGATACATCTGGTCTGCCTAGGCCAGACAGCTTACAGAGAAAACTTGGCCTGTGGGCCTTTGCCCAGGAAATTTGCGTTCATCACGATGGTGCCACCTATTGTAAGCCAGAGAATGCAAATGTTTCAGTAGAAGATATCAGTGAGGGAGGCACTGTATAACATTGACTTTCCCATTAGTCTTGCATGACAGAACAAAAAGTGCTCTATGAAATTGTCTGTGTGATTGCATGGCATGTCTCTAATGGTCTAGATTAACAGAGATAGCATCGTAACAATTGCTATGCATTGCTGCCCAGCGTCATGTCAGCCTAATGCTTTTGTTAAAATGGGAATAGCTCTCAGAGAAATGCTCTAAGTTGCTAACCTGGAGAATAAGTACCAAGTCACCAAAAGCAATCGGAATCCAAGTTGGGCCTACCCCTTGACCCAGACAGGGCAGCCTACATGTTATGCTGAGCCTCTGGGAGGATGCCTGCTGTTCATGCCATCGCCTTTTCCCTTTTTGTCGTCGCAGATGGGCCCTATTTGAAGGATTCCATTAATATTCAAAGCCTTGCTGTTTCCTCCATCATTACACTGTATTTTACAGACCTGGGTCAGCAGGTCGGTTGGACCACAGTAAGTATGTCCTTGTGACGATCAACATGATACGTCTTAATGTGCAATGTGTTTTAATATCAAATTACTCCAACTTCCTCAGCCTGTCCTTCCCTTTGTCAAATGGTGTAATTACTTTATCAGCAGTCAAAACAGAATTAAATGGATAGTGAGCCAAATTATCAATGTGCTAACTCTGACATCCAATTAAAGATTAGAAGGGGGACATAACAATATTGCCTGAGGGGAAAAAAAATCAATTTTTAAAAACAGTTTTAGCTTATCTATGCAGGACCTGTAGCCAAATACATTCATTTGCTGCAAGGCTCCTCAGCTTTGAAAGTGGAAGGATATTAAAAAGAAAAAATGGATTTCTGGTAATCCTGTTACTAATGCAGGAAAATTCTTGGGTGGTAATGTCTTACTCTTTGTTCATCCAAAGAACAGTTCTGAGAGAGTAGTGAGGCCAAGGATGCCAGGCATAAGATGCTCAGCCAGGCTTAGGAGTCACAAAACTGTTGAATCTCTGTGTCAAACAAAAGCATTCGCCATGAGCAACAATACCTGTATTATGCTGTGGGTAGAACCACGGTCTGTTTTTACTTCTGGTCTCGGTTTGACTTTAGTTACTTTCCTGTAAGCAGCTGTTGGAAGGTCAGGGTGGCAGGAGAGAGGAAACACGTTCCACTCAAATGGGGTTGTGGGGAACTGCAACCTTATGGGCTCAGCTGTGCAAGGAGGAAGTGAAAGATTCAGTTTTTTCACAGCCCAAAGACAGCAGAAAGCAGAAGGGTTTGAAAGGACAGTGGAGGAATGGGAGATGAAGAGACCTTTCCAATGTCCTGCAGCGGGCATAGGTGGCAGGGCTGTAAGTTGTCTCGCTCCTAGACTGACCTAGTTTTGCTGTGGTTTGCATGTGCTGTGTTAGCTGGAGAAACACACAGCCCACATCTGTATATTGGGTAATGAGTTTCCCAATTTCTGCAGTAAGAGTAACATGAGTAAGATAGAACTACAGTTTCTGAAAGCCATAAAAGCCACGATGAGATGATTCATAGCAACAGGAAACAAACCACCAATTGCTTGCAATTCCGTTAACGAAGCAAGTCCGATTTTGCTAACTGGCATCATGGCTATAGGCCAAATTATTAGAGTCTTACCTCAGGCAGCCCACAGATCCCACCCTGCTCGTGTGGGGTGACCACAAGGCCCACTGACAAGCCACTGTCTTTCCTTGGCTGTGCCTATATGGATGGAGCTTGTGAGTGTCAGGTCTCTAAGCAGCTTGCAGATGACAGTACCGGTTCCTCTCTCCCATAGGTCACTATGGGCTAGGAAGCATTACTACAAGACACTTAGAATGGACATGCTATTTTACAGCTCCTTGTCCATTAAACAGTACCCTCAAGGTGGATGTTACTGCCAGAACTGCCATAGACTTTGGGAAGAGTCAGCTTCTGGATCAGCTCTGTAAGCTCACATCACATATCCATCTCACCCGCTCAAGCTCACGTGCATTTCTCCCTCTCGAGGGAAGCAGATAGCCCCTAGCAGCACAAACTCTGGGAAGTTTTGGCCCCTATGAACAAGAGCATGACCTATATCTATCCTTCCCAGTTCTAACAACAGGATCCAGGTGGTGACAAGCCGTTTAATTCAGTGGAGTTAGAGCAGTTCACACTGTGTGACTGACCTGTTTCAGTAGAGGTCTGCAAGTTTACCAAGGCTGTGGCTTTACCCCACTGATCCCCGTGCTGATTAGTAGCCTTCTGGGGCCATACTGATTAATGCTATTGCGGGTCTTGTTTCTCCCCCACCCCATCCCACCACCTCTCAACTGTGGAATGTCTTTGCAAAGCAAAATTGCGAGTAGTGCAGCCTCCTGTTTGCTACAACTAAGTAATCTGCAAGAACTTTATTTATTCTCTCCTTTCCTGGTGGTTTATGTAGCCTAAGACAGTAACATAACTAAAGCTTAATATCCCATTATAAATAGTGCCGTTATGACTAGGCGTTGATACTGCAGGCAGTGGCATTTTTTTATGATTTAATCTGTGTGTGCAGAAAGTTGACTCCATGAATTTCTGAATATTCATCTTACCCTATTCTGTTCCATATTCTAAATTGTCTCCACTCTCAGTGGGAGAAATCTTCTATCTAGCCACATCATTTAAACAGTCAAGGGATTTTTTATATTATAGCTCGTCTATAGCAATAGAGAAAAAGTTCACAGAAGATTGTATTCTAACAATAGCAATTAAGAATGTATTTGTACACAGGATGTATAGTTTTACTGCCATTTTTACTGTGCTTAGAGCTCCCATTCTCCCATCCCCATTGATGCTCTATCAGATTTATGCACAGGATGAGGGATGCTTCTGATTTAAAGGGTTGACATTTAAATAAACAAGGCACAGAATAAAAATATCCTTATCTCATCAGCAAAATGATAGCTGAGGTACAAAGGGCCACATTCAGGTCTGGACTCGAAAAATAGACACAGAAGCACACAGAGATACCTTGGTGCTCCAGAGGCCAATGCATGGGGCATGGATCTGTCTAGGGGAAAACAGCTCAGAAGTAGGTCTCTTGGGGCTTTGTCACCTCATTGGAGATCACACTTGAGATGCCCACTTGAGGGTTAAGAACACTAAGACCCCCAGTGCTGGGGATATACACCAAGAAAATGAGCTCGTGTTTTTTAAAAGGGGGAAGTGGTACCCTCCTCCACCTCCTTGGAGCAGTACCCTTTCCAGGCATGTTGTAAAATAAAAGAGGATGCTGTTGTCTGTTCCCAAACAAAAAGTTTGGGTCCCTAAGTCTAGGAGCATATTTCTGAATCAAGAAACCTCAGCTTCCCTTTTGGAATGTGCACGGTCTCTAGTTTACAGCCCTTGTCACACTCCACCTTGGTGGGTCAAGAGTTTGTCGTCTCCTGTTGTCTACTCAGTCCCTCTGTCCGAGGCTGCCACTTTGTAGGAAGGATGTTTCCTTCTCGTCCTCAGCCTTCTTAAAACATGGCTGCGCAGTCACCGAAATAATTTTAGTGTTTTGTGCTGTGAAAGGCCAGACAGTCCCTAGGCTCAGGTTACACCACAGCTCTGAGACTGGTTGACCAGATTTCAACAAGTTCTAGAGGCTGGGTTGCTCTGAGGAAGGACAAACTGGGGTGAGGGACTTGCAGTTCTCCTCCACTGGAGCAGTTACTTGTCAGTCTTTTTTGAGAATGAAGCCCTTTCCTGGGATAATTTGGGTAGAAATCCAACCTCAGCTGGCTCTTTTAGAAGAATGGAGGCCCTCAAGGCTCATCTGCAGAAAGCAAATCAGGGATAAACCAAAACCTGTTTCCCAGTACCATGGATTTTGTTCGAACTCTCTAGTCTGCCTTCTCTTTTATAAAACAAATATTATCTGAAACACATAATTTACTTCTGCACAAGATTTACCAATTCCTTTACCTTACCTGGAGGGGATAGTTGAGGTTTTCTGAGTGATGCTGCAGAGATACTAATGGGAGCTGAGTTTACAGATCTTTTCTGTGTGCTTCCTGCGAAGATTGTACCCCCAGGGGTGTTTGAAATTCCCACCACTGGAGTGATGGGTTTTATTTTTAATCTCTGTCCAATTTTGGGCCTAAGCATGTTTGACAGAGACCTCTTTTTACATATTGCAATGCGGCATTTGACTTTTTGAAACATGGCTGGCATTTTACTGCTACGAATGCATACTGCTGCTGTAGTCAAAAAGAAGAAAACCATTCTTCCTGCTCAAATTCAGACTTCTGTTACAGCTTTCCTCATTTGAGCAGTGATTGCAATTTCTGATTTATCAGCTTCTGTTGCCTAGTTGCTACATGGGCAGGCTACCAGAAGGATCAAAATAGAACTGGGAAAATAGCATAGAACTGTGAAAAATATATTTTACTTCCAAGTCTGTGAATTTCATAAGATTAACCCTGAAACACAGTGCTTCAGTAAATATTTTTGTAACTGTGATTTAAAATTAGGGATTGCTTAAATACTTTGACTCCCGAGAGCCTTAAAACACTGAGGCTGGCAGCAGAACTGCTCCATTTGCTTAGATTATAGTTCCTTAGATTGTGCGTTTTTTTGCTTTGTGTTTGTATACTGTGTGTGTCCCCCCCCATATGACTCTGATTCCACGCAGCTCTGCTACGCAAACAAATAATAACACAGAGAAAACCATTGACTCTCTGATCTGAGTTGCCACTTCAATAGACTTCTGCTGGTGTAAAACAGAGCTGGCTGAAAAATGGAACTGTATTTAATAGGTTTAAGATTATAGTATACATCATTTTTCTGGAATAATTTCAAGCTTTCCAATGAAAAAAAGATTCTGCTCAATTTAGATATATGGAGACTGATACTTATTTAAAGCTGAGAACATCTTTAAAATCTGAAAATCTATGCTTTCACTAATGGGTCTGTTCCCTTCTGCCTGGCAAGCAAAATTATCACCGAGCTAGACATTGTGGAAAAACGATCAAGAAGCCATGGGATCTATGTTTGAGGCTTAGCGGTTATGTATAGCAGGTGTACACCGTGGGGAAGCGCGTGCTGTACTGAATAACGAGGTGCGCCTGCTCTTGCGGGGGGAAGGCAGTGTTTCGGTCAGCGTGGTTCTCTCCTCTTACTCACACGTGTACCCAAGTTTTTCTGTCCTGTGGGTGTGGGTGGGTGATGAACAGGGGAGAAGCAGTTTGCTCTGACTGTGGCTCACTCAGTTGGTCCTGTAAATGTGGAACGGTCCCATGAAGTCTGTGGGATGAGTGTGATCCAAAGCAATTTATTGAGTATTGATGGATTTAAAATAGAGTCAGCCAAACTGCTGCAGACTCATTTTCTCCACCTTCTCTATACTGAGGTCAGCTGTGGACTCCCCTCAGGGAACAACATAAGATGTTTTCCCTGATTTGGGAACAGAAGAAGAGACTTCAGTAAAGGTTTATAACCTCTCAATGGGATGCAGAAGTACAGACAATTATAACAGACAGAAAAAAG